TTTAGGTATATCATTTTAATATGGAATACTATATATGGAATATATATAATATAATATGGAATAATCTGTATTACTACAGATTTGAAAAAAGAATGATAATACCAAGCTTTTCTTTTAAACTTAATACTTTATGGTTTAATACTTAATAAAACTTAATACTTTATGGCTTAATACTTAATAAAACTTAATACTTTATGGCTTAATACTTAATAAAGCTTAATACTTTATGCCTCAATACTTAATAAAACTGAATACTTAAAACTCAATACTTAATAAAGCTGAATACTTAAAACTTAATATATTTACTAAAACTTTCTTTAAACGTTAAATATGAATGGAAGTTCAACATCGAACTTTTCTGCCGTATAAACAAAGACATTTCTCTCGCATCTATTGCTATCAATATTTTTACTTTCACCGGGAATCGATGCACCGCGCGGATTTTGTAATGATGCCGCGTAACAGTAGCTAATATACGTGAAACGCTTTAACGGACGTTCCGTCGATAACAATTACACGCACACACGTGAAATTCTCGTGAAATCGAATCCCCTTTGAAAAAAATATTCTCTTTCAATGCAACCGCCGCGAGTATTTTCGGCATGGTCATCGAACCGTTATCGATTTCCCGATGGATTTTCTAGACACCGTCGTCATTCCGGTCCATGAATAACGCATACAACGCCCCGTAGTTACGAGAATCGGACGGTACACTCATTATTGTCGTCTCAGCCTGTTAAATCTGGATTTACGCTAATGAGCCGGGCTTTGTGACGAGAGAGGAGGACATCGTCACGTTTGTCAGCGATGATCGAACCATATATTACTTTGTATATATATCGTCGCCGCTTTCATCGATGAGAAAGACAACGCGTTGGTTATGCTCACGAAATCACTATTGCTGCAACGGCTGTTATCGTCGTGCGTTTAATTATCGCCCTGTTCAATTTCGAATTTCTCGCGGAATTTTTTTCTGCTCGCATCTCTTACGGTCAGTTTCGAACAATCGAAAGCGCAGCTTCTACGATCTGGAATTTTCAATGTTTTAGATCACAGTAGAATCTCGTTTTAATATATATATATATTAATAAAAATATATAAATATATAAATAATATAAATAATAGTATAAAGATATAAATAATAATTATATTATTAAATATATATATATATTTATTTATTTAATAATATGATTATTATTTATATTATTATTTATATTTTATTATTATTATATTATTATTTAATAATACAATTATTTATGTATTAAATATATAATATATATACTTTCAAACTAATACCTTTCAGGGACACCCTGTATATCAACTAAAATAACTGTGTCTAAACCAGTATCAGATCACGTGGCTTCCTAACCTATAAAAGCAAAGCTACCATAGAAAGCAGCAGCAACAACAGGTGAAAGATAAAAAAAGTGTCTTGATTGTTGCTGCAATCCGGACATATCTTAACAGAGCGCCGCGAAAATACTCTTGGGAATCTAGAAGCTCTCGATTACACCACTCGGGGACACGATCGCAGCATTTCCAATAAGCCGACGTGGCGGCTTGTAGTGACTCCCTCATTCATAAGTGGGTTGTTTGTTAGTCGACTCCGGGGCAGCCGGTGTCGGCGAAAGGATAAGGTAGCCGCGTTCGAATCGAAGAACCAGGATACTAATTGGTCGTCGAACGGTCCCGAGGTGATTTCCTTGTTACGGGGAACGGAACGCGAACGAAAGCGAAGTGTCTCGATCGAGTGTCTAATTCCCTTTGATACCGACGGCGGGGCTCGATTACAATTTTTAATTGCTCGAGCAGCGTCGAGGGCAGAGCGTCGAGGGACAGGTAGGTGGTCGGCTCATTGTTGAATCGAATACTCGGCGCTTCGTCGCGGCACTCCACTGTCTGAAAATATTTACTGTACACGTGCGAAACGGTTAACCTGGACGTGTCAACAAAAAATAAGCAGATAAGATATTGCCGCGATCTTCGCAACGGCTCCAGGTGAAATAACTATACTACTATACTACTATAATATATATATATATATATATATATATATAATATAATAAATATATAATAATAATATATATATATATTATATATATATATATAATAATAATATAATAATATATATAAATAAAATAAATATAAATAATATTATATATATATATATATATATATATATTTTTATGGAACTTTGCTGGTTCGTGGAGAACCTTCAGAGAAGTATCAAACAATTTTTGTTGGTTTCACCATAATTTGGGACTTCAAAGTGGAAACCTCTCTCGAAGGTAGGTAGAGCAGAGGAGCCAATTACTGTGTGTGTCCTGTTGTGGCGGACTTCGGGAGTTCTCGCTGCTAAAAAAGCTTTGCAATTTAACCTTGACATTTGTTGATGCTTTGATGGCCGCAAGATTACCATTTTCGTGATAAATTATTATTATATAAGATATTATTAACATTAAGATATTAAGATATTATTATTATTATTAAGACATCAAGATATTATTATTAAGACATTAAGATATTATTATTATTAAGATATTGAGATATAATTATTAAAATATTATTATTATTATTAAGATATTATATTATTATTTTTGTATTATCAGATATTATTATATCTAATTTTGTATGTATATTCCCGTAGATTTTGTCGAGAGAACGTGAAGAATTCAAGTTCGGAGATGTGCAAACGAAAATTCAAGAAGTTCAGAAGTTCAAATTGACGAATTTCAAGCGTTTTCGACATGCTAGAGGCGATGGTTTGAGGAACTGTTCCATTGTCCAAAATATCCATCTAGGCGTCGCGTCACGAAATATAATCCACCTAGCAGCAGAAACGTATTGCTGTTAGTTGACTGGCGAGACGCTAAATTCGTTACCGGATCCGAGGTTGCGCCGCTGCATCAGAACACCTGGATAGAAACTTCTAAGGGTTAATTTTGCAAGGACGATTCGTGACTGCTCGTATAATCCGACCGGGAAGCTGATTCGCGTTCACTTGACAGAATTTAGCCGTCTGAATTCGAAACCTCGGCCTCATCAAATTTGCAACGGGAACACGACACAACCACACGGAGAAACCGGACCCGTATAGATTTCTACCGCGGATTCGTGCCGATCTTCCGAAGTCTACCGATCTAAAATTGGCTTCCGCAAAAACCGCTGCGATATTCGCGCGTATCGATCTGGTTAAATATTTTTGTCGCGCCGCGGCTATTTTCTGGATTATGCTGTAGCAAATGTGCTCGGTCAACGGACCAGTGTGATATACGATGTGTGTTGCACATGCTTGAAGATATTATTTTTAATTTAATATTATTATATAATAATATAATATAATATATTATATTATATTATAATAATTATAATATAATAATAATAATAATAATAATAATACTGTAATAGTTATAATAATATTATAATTATCATAAATATTATAATTATTATTATATTATACTGGCCGCTGGCTTTTGAATTTACCGACTGACCCGATTTTCGTTCTCTCTCTCTCTCTCTCCTTCGCACGAGATGTCGGCAACGATAGAGGCGAGCCTGGAGGTTCGAAGAATCGTGTCCGG